AAAGGGAAGCCGGAGCTGCCACGTTCGCAGAGGGACGGTTTCTCTTTGGCGTTGGTGGCCGAAACGTCGCGCTCCCTGCCCTCCAGAGCAGGGGAAAACACGGATTAGAGGCAGCGCCTGAGGTGGGAGCCCACCATCTGCAGAAACGACAGCCGATCTCGGGAAGTCTGAGGGGAACCCTGATGGCAGAGTGCTTATGCGATGGGCTGCCGACTTCAAGGTCGGGAGTTCGAAACCACCCGCCGCTCTGCGGGAGAAAGACGAGGCTTTGGGCCCTGGGACACCCACCCTGCCCCGTGGGGTCGCCGGGAGTCGGAACGCACTCGATGGCAGTTCAGAGGGAATGAGCTGTAAGCCACTGGCTTTCAAACCTCCCTTTTGACAAAAGAAACCGAGTCGAGAGTGAAATTAACTTCTTGGAGTAGGTTTATCCGAGCAGAAGTTTGGGGCAGCAACAAGGGTTGGAAAGAACTTGCTCGAGGATGAGCAGCGGCTGGCTTGTCTCCTGACAAAATTCTAGAGCAAAAGAAGCTTCCTCCGCATTGGCCTAGACGATTTAAAGTGCAGTCGGGATTTGACTGGTCAAGGAGCGCCTTAAGAATCGTCATTGGTCAACCAGGGTAACCTGATGAGAGGATCGATAAAGGCACTTTGTCCACTGCCCTTGCAGGTTTGCCAACCGCACAACTCCATTTTTATTTTACTACATCAGAATCCGTTGTCTCCAGGGAATCTGACTCAGGGCGATTCCACTTGGAGGGCCTCTTAAATGGGGGTGCTCTGCTCCACCCCCAGAGTTTTTTTAATCTGTGGAGCTGGCAGGAAACCAGAATGTTTTATTTCTAGCAAGTTTGTCCAGGTGATATCAATACTTAAGTGGCAGAGACCACACCTGAGACTCATTGATATAACTCAGAAAGCACCAGTTTCTATTTACACTTTCATGAAATATTGCTAACAACCAGCTTTTCCAAGGATTCGGTGCCGAGCCAAAGACATCCTTGTGTTCCGGGGAATTTAGAGTCAGATTATGAAGATATTCCATTATAAATAAGATAAGTGCAATGAAGAAGAGTATACACTACCATGAGAATTTCAGCAGGTTGAATTCAGCAGTACATTGACTGGGAGCTGCCAGAAATTTGGGCCAGATTCAGAAGAGGATATGGGACAAGGCATGTCATTGCTGATGCCAGATGGATCTTGGCTTAAAACAAGACCAGAAAGACATTGAACTTTATTGATTATGCAAAAGTATTTGACTGTGTGGCTCATAACCAACCATGGATAGCCTTGAGAAGAGTGGAAATTCCAGAGCACTTCATTGTGCTCCTGGTAAACATGTACATGGATCAAGAGGCAGTCGCTCAAACAGACAAGGGAAATGCTGCATGGTTTAAATCAGGACAGGTGTGCACTAGGGTTGATCTTTTCACCATACTTATCTGATCTGCATGATGAGCATACATCAGCGAAACTGGACTATATGAAGAAGAACACAGCATCAGGCTTGGAGGAAGTCTTAGTCACAATTTGCAGATGAGCCGGGCTTGCTGAAATTAATGATGACTTGAAGCACTTGCTGATGAGGATCAGGGATGGCAGCCTTCTGTATGAATTTCAACCCAATGTAAAGAAAACCAAAATCCTCACAACTGGACCAATAAATAGCATCATGATAAATGGAGGAAAGATTGAAGTTGTCAAGGATTTTACAATCCTTGGATCCACAGGCAATGCTCATAGAAGCAGCATTCGAGAGGTCAAATGATACATTGCACTAGGTAAATCTGCACAAGACCTCTTTAAAGTGTTGAGGAGCAACGATGTCACGTTGAGGACTAAAGTGTGCCAAAGTATTTTCAGTCACCTCATAGAAGTGTGAAAATTGGACATTGACTAAAGAAGGCCCAAGAAGAATTGCTGCATTTGAATTATGGGGTTGGCGAAGAATAGTGAAAAGTCCCGTCTGCCAAAAGAACAAACAGATTTGTCTTGAAAGAAGTACAGTGAACCCTCGCCACTTCGCGCTTCAACTTCTGCGGCTTCACTCTATCACAGTTTTTGCGTAACAGTGCATGCTCTGTCATTACTGCCACTGATTGGCTCATACTGTACACGCTTCTGTCTGCATCGCTATGTATCGGAGCTACGTATCAGATGCATTTTTGCTTTTGTACAGTGTACTGTAATTGTTTGCGATTTTTAAGAAATTTTATCTAAGCCCTATGATGGCTCCTAAACAAGCTGCTTCTTCTAAGCCTTCTGACAATAAAAATAAGCGCCAGAGGAAAATGCTCACCATCCAGGAAAAGGTAAAACTTTTGGATATGATCAAAGATGGCAAGAAAATCGTGGAGGTTGCACGCCATTTCGACTTGAATAAGGAATCCTACTTCGCGGAATTTCATTTATCACGGTAGGGTCTAGAACCGATTAACCGCAATAAACGAGGGTTCACTGTACAACCAGAATGCTCCTTAAAAGCAAGGATGGCTAGACTTCATCTCTCTTACTTTGGACATGTGACCACAAAGAGACCAGTTCTTGAAAAAGGACATCATGCTTGGTAAAGCAGAGAGGCAGTGTGGCATTTGCATAATCTATTGTCAACTTGAGAAAGGGGTGGAGTCTAACCTATCAATCAGGTCACAGCTTGACGACCTCATTTGGAGGCAGAAGGAGATAAATAGCTCACTGGAGGCCAGACATACACTCTCTCCCGGTGAGATATTCCTGTTGACAAGCCACATGGAGGTATACTAATGGAGCCAGAGCACTGGAGCTGGAGGAACCACAGAGAGACCCATGCCCGTGTGGAGATGCTTACACCACCACTGGATCCACAAGACTTTCTACCCACTGGCCTGTGATCTTCCTGCATTCAGCATTATTGCATGTGTTGCATGAGTCAAGAGTAATTTATAGACTGGTATCCGACATATGGGCTAATAACAGACTTATGGACTGAACTGGGCTGAGATGTTTTCGTTTTGGTTTTTTTTGGATGGGGGGTGTTGTTTTCTTAATGTACAAGTACTCTTATATAAAGCTCTTTATTGTACACGAGTATCTATTTCTCTAGTCTACCCGGACTAACACAGGCAGTGAAACAGAGAGATACTTGATGGGATGAATTGACACACTGGCTACAACAATGGGTTCGAATATCACAACCACTGTGAGGATGCCACAGGAGTAGGCGGGGTTTCATTCTCTTTTACATGGAGTCATTATGGGTCGGAAATGACTCAACGGCACCTAAGCAACAACAACAACAAACTTGATAATTAATAGTTGAGGAATCAAAGGGAATAGGGATGGGAAAATGTCTGAGGTGTGACACATATCCTTAATCGATGACCTGAAAGACGAGTCGGAGTTTACTAGGCAAAGCGAAGGGGCAAAGGCATTCCAGGCAGTACAAAAGAGAAGCCATCTCAGTAGGTCAACAGACCAATCAGGACTTAGGCTAGATCACTTATCCTTTTCTTGGCTCAGTTTAGTGAGGTGAACACAGGAAGAGATGAATTTCAGCAGAACTCCAGCTCCCTGGAGGCAGCCAAAAAAGGAAGACTCGACAAGATGGATTGACAGCGGCCGCCACAAGGGGCGCAAACATAAGAACAATTGTGAGGATGGCGCAGGACTGGGCAGTGCTTCCTTCGGTTGCACGTAGGGTCGCTATGAGTCAGAATGGAAGCCTAACAACAGTTGACGTAATTTGGGCAAGTGATGCTCACGATCTTGGTTTCCTCACTGTCTAATTGGAAAACGAGCAGAACCCAACTCACTCATGTCAAGAAATGCCATTGGCTCACATAACTGAACATTCAGAGGTAGATCATCTTCAGGCTGGGTCCGATGAGAGCCCTGGATCCATTCCTCTGGGATTCTCTTGGCTGTATTCTCCATAAGTCAGCCTCAAGATGGCTGCAAGGAACAGCCAGGGCTACACACTTCCTCATCCTGTCATAGCCTCTCTTCTCATATCTCTCCTCACAGCAATTTATCCTGCTGGTCCTAATTGGCTTAGGCCTGCCCATCCCTAAACTGGTCAGAGTGGAGGAAAATGTGATTCCTCTGATTGGTTTAGAGACTCCTCCCATGCAGTTGATTTCAGTTCCCCAGAATCGATGTTGTCTATGCATTCTATTCATTGCCCGGCTGTAGTGGAAATGAGATATAATGTAAATAAAGCATCCAGCCTATAGGCATACAATACACCATAGCTATTATTAATTTTACTCCTGGGATTTTGTACAGGGATTTTGTTATTCATATTGATCTAAAGCTTGTCTTGTTAAACATTAAAAATGGTTTAAG